ATCCCATGGGCTGTGTTAGGGCCTGTGACAGCCAGTGAGTGCCTACAGTCCTTGCGTGGTTATTGGTATTCTCATCAGGGCTTATCTCTGTTTTTATTTTAAAATTGCTACATATTTATGCCCGATTCAGCTGAATTGCTGCTGTGACAGAAAGTGGTTTTTTGTAGACAACTATTTTACATTTTCCATTTTACTGTCTGGCTTTTTAACTACTTACTGCGTTTCTGTTTTCCATTTGTTTACACCTTGCTCCTGCCAAGCTTTTCTTTAATACAAGATTTCAAAGCAATTTCTCCTTTGTATATACAGATTTGCAGCTTCTTGAACACGGCACAGTCAAAATCAGTCAAACCCCTTTAAACTCCCCTGCAATTAGCTGGTGAAAGGAGAGGAGGGAAGAACAGCTCCGACGTCGTTCTATTTATTTATTTATTTATTTCCCTCAGCACTTGGAGGGAAAACGTTCCTTTTTGTTTTATTAATGATGTGCTTATGAAATGGAGCGTTTGATGGTATGCGACTTGGAGCAGGCAGAAGGCGAGCTTCCCCACATCGCGCTGGCAGCGCGCTTCCTTTCTGATCCGCAGCACGCTAGTTTATTCCAGATGTGGGCTCGCTCCGAAGAGGGGCTGCCTGATGTGCAGTGGATTCACAGCGGAGGAAGGCGGCCTGCAGGGACCCACTTGAAACCACCAGCTGTAATTTCTATTCTCACTTAGGGTCTGTTACATAAGATGACCCTTTTTTAAGGGTTATTTTTTGCTTGTGATTAATCCAAGTAGAATATTCATACTGTCTTTAAAGAAACATTTTAATTATTTGTGGCTGAGGCACTTTGAAGTTGATCAGCTGCAAGTGGAAAAATCTGGTCCGAAGGGCTGCCTGCTCGAAAGAGCCAAGTTGGGAGGAAAGTTGAGTCACCTATGAATGATGTAACTGCAGAGAACAAAAATGAGCCATTAGCCCAACTGCAGCCTGACTTGGCCACTTGTGTTTCTTCTTGCTATGGGAGTGTTCACAGAAGTGAGGGAAGTCAAAAAATGTAAGTCTGGAATTGACTTCAAGAGTTGACCTGGTCTCATCTCCTCCTCTGAGGCCATCTTTGACAAATGTTGCTCCATCATGTCCATGAAACCCTTCCAGTGAGGGGAATCCACAGTTCCTTTGGGTAGGCAGGTCTGCTGCTGCTCTGGGTTTACATGCAGAGTCCATGGGGTGGATCCAAGCAGAGTTAACATTTGCTTCCAGGAGATGGGGAACAAATCTCTTAAGGGGAAATTTTGGCTTATTCCTTTGACACTCTCAAAGTAAGCATGAATGTCTTTGTGAGTGTCCATCTTGGTCAGATCTCAGGTGAATTGCATTAAATGTGGATTGTCATGTACAGGTTGTCAGCCCAACTTATCTAGTGAGTCCTTTGCACTTAGGTTCTTATGTGCTGAGCTTCGCTACAGTGACCTGCATTGAGTTAAGGGCAATTGAAAGATATAGGTTGGTCTCTTTATTCTTAAGAGTGGCCAGAGCAGTGTATTGCCTGGTCCCTGTCTGTGGCATGAGCTCGTGGTGCCTCTCTCTCTGTCCTTGCTCAGGATGCTTGGTGTTTGGCTGGACCAGCACGAGCACATCTCTGTGCTTGGGGCATGAAATGCTTCTGCACTGAGAGCTGTGGGTGCACATGTGCAGGTTTATGGTGTCACTCGTGAAGGAAGCTGGGGGGATTATTCTGAGTCATTTATAAATGAAGCGATGAGAATTATTCTGAGAGGATGGAAAAGTTCAGGTGTTAATAGGGATATGAAACTGACAGCGGCCAAGCAGCAACCCACATTCTGCATCCGATCAGAGGAGACTGGTCACCAGTTAAACTCGTCCTTCTCTGGGCTGGGATTATGCAGACCCTGAGGACAGTGACACCAGACCTGCAAACTGCCAAATCTGGCTGCACTGGCAGTTTCCCATGGGTATTGTGAGTCTCTGGAGGGGAGTGAATACACCAGAGTCCTAGCTTCCATTTAAAGACTAAGTGAGCTTGTAATCTTTTTGTTTATGAAGGAAAGCTTGAAAATATGATCCCTTAAAAAATTTTCAAAACTAAAGACGTGCATTACTTTGCTATTTTTTTATTTTTTTTTTAAAGCATTTAGGATTTGTGTTGTTGAACCTGGGAATCTCCAATAACTCAAGAAAACTGGTTTGAAGTAAAATTTAAATGCATTTACAAATCCTTGAAATTGGCACAGAGCTTTACTATGAAGGTTTTCCCATGATGGAGTCACATAAGATGCACACCCAAAGCAGCTGCGTTTCTTAGCTGGCTGTGAAGTATCCCGTGCTGCTCTGTGCAAAGGAGATAGCAGCTTCGTGGGGAGGGGATGTGGGTTCTGCTGAACATCCCCTTTCTCCAAGAGGCTTCAAGCAAAGCCTGGCAATTTGCTTTTTAATAGTTAGCTTTCAAAACCTTGGAGTGACGTGCCTCGGAGATACGTGTGTATTGGTGGGGGGCATTTGCTTTGCAGCACGTGGTTAAATGAAGAGCTATGAATGTTTTATGAAGAAGAGGGAAAGAACAGTGAGGGGATCTGATTTCCAGTGGACTCCGAATTGTTTATTCTCAGTGCAGCTGACCGGTGAGGACTCAAGGGACAGCCTTTTCTTACACAGGAGATGGTGACCGTGTCATTTGAAAATGAGTGAAAGAAATACATGTTTGGGTACGTGCCAAATGGCTTCGTTGTCTTTATTGTGGCTGTGTTCTGCCGCCTGTGTTCGGACTGAGCAATGCTTTACTTTACAACTGCTTTTGATTTCAGTGGGAGTTCAAGGGGAGTAAGATGGTTTTTGCATTAAGAGCAGAGTCTTGCCATTTGCTGCTATTTAGTGTTTTGCTATGTAAATGAATATTTGAGAGTGGGTCAGTTAAGAATAAATTTGAGGGTTGTTTTTTTGGTTGTTTTTTTTTTTAGTACAATGTGTGATAGTGAGGAGTGCTGAGGAACGCAAGCAAAGCACTATGCATCGTGGGCCTTTCCGTAACTTGCATTCCAAAAAAGCTTTTGCAAATCATTAAATGCAATTTTATGACTGCATTGTTTAACTTCATTGGAGAGTCTGCTTCCAAACTGGATTTAACAACGGACACTTGGAGTGGCATCTTGTGAGGACAATAGATGGTCAGAGATTGTATTTCTCTATTATGCTGTTTTCATTATGGGTGCAAGGTATTTTATAGCAATAAAAAAACCTCTCTGGAGCATCTTTATGCTGTAGCTCAGTTCTTTTTTAAGTACATAAATATAGTTGACTCTTGCCCCTGCATTTAACACAGTGTCTCTTGTATCACTAATTTATCTCAAAGTATTCTCTGTCCTGACATGTCCTGTTACTCAGCAGGAGACTGGGCTTTTATTGAAGCATTGAGGATGCCAGTTAAACCTGTTGGGTTATTGTCCATCTGCTTGACTTTCAAGTTAACAAATTACCCGCAGGTGTATATGTTTTCAGGCTCAAACTTTTGGGTTACCTCTTAAGACACATGGTTTGCTTTTCCTGTTTCTCCTACCTGTGATCTAGGGGCTGTGTAGCGTCATATCATTATTGTTGTTGTTGTTGTTGTTGTTGTAATTTTTATTATTTCTATTATAATTATTATTAATAATTTTTCACTTTGTTCTTAAGATATTGGTGTAGCTACTAACCTCTTTGTTCCTGTATCTGAAAAACTCATCTTGCATTGCATTTAAAAGTTTCAGTGAGGGCCCCAGTGATCAGGTTAAAAAAAAAAAGAAGCACATTTTCTTCACTTAATAAAGGCTCTGATAAACAACGTTGTCCTACAATCTGCAGGTTGCTGCCACAGCCCTTGGGCTCACTGATATATTTAGCAGTTCCCGTTCTCAGAAACAAGCAGCAATTTCTACATGCTTTTCACAGTTTGGCATGAAATTTTAATCATCTTTGCTGCTTGGGCATTTGCGTACTGCGAGAATGTTCCTTGTGAGAACAGACCCAGGCAGAAATAGCTGACCTGGAGCCTGGTGACTACAACACATGGCCTAAAAATTGCCTCCAAATTGTGCATTTTGCTGTCTTCCAAGCCTGAAAACTTCCTGGGGTTTCTCACAATTCTGTTATCCTGGTTCTTCTCCTTTCTGAGAATCCTGGCAATCGCCTTTTGTGTCTTGCTTGCTTGCTTGTTTTGCTCTTTCCTTTTTTGCTCTGCTGATATCGGCCACACTTGTGTTTTCTTGCACCTAGTCCTGCCAGTGGGACTCAGGGGAAACTAGTTTTTGTTCTGCATTTTGTATTGTTCTGCAGTTTGTAAAGCACATTTTGGATAAATATTTATAATAATTTTTTAAAAAATAGATAATAAAAAGGTGTCCTAAACATAGCTTATTACCTTGCTTATACTGAAAAGTTATTCTCTGCAATGGGTAAATTTATAATTTACAGTCTGTGCCACAGCTGTCCAATGAGAAATACTTGATTGGCAGCTGATATTTGAAGCGTGGTTGGTATTTTCTTCCCTGTGTCTCAAATCCTGCAAACGCCTCCAGAGAGGGAAGCACCGCTGTGCAATGCCAGTCTGGTCCCTGCTGCGCTACCCCATGTTCAGGGTGTCTCCCTTGAACATTGTCTTGCTCCTCTGCAGCCCTGCACAGCTCATCCTTCAGTTTTGGCAAGGGATTTGAGGATGCTGTTTGCTTCGGGAAGGATCAGGGCGTTGACAGCAGCACCTCTGTGGCTCCAAAAAGCTGCAAACAGCCCTGCAAGGAAACCTCTACGTGCTGGTCCTACTCTGTGCTGCCTCTTCCTTTCTGCCTCCTTCGCTTGGACCACAGCTAATGCAGCAAAGTTCAGCAGAAACACCCGTATAGCTCGAGCTATACAGATGTGTGGTGATGGGCAGCAAGGTGCTAAATAGCTCCCTTCTGTACCCTCCCAGCCCTCTCTCACTGTCCAAATCCAAATTCAAGGATTCTCTGCACGTTTTCTCTCAGCGAGAAGGTTGCCGCATATGGAAGATGCACATCGTGAAGGGGACAGACGGACTGGGCATCCAGATAACGGGAGGCAGAGGGTCGAAGCGGTCCCCTCACAGCATCATCATCACCCGCGTGGAGGAAGGCGGCTCTGCACACAGGTGAGGAGACAGGGGTGCCTTCATGGGAGTGGGTGTGATGGAACATCCGTGGCCATTGCTGTTAGCCAGAGTCATGAGACAGGTGTGGGGGATTTGCCCCATTCCATGAGGAATAAGGCATTTTTAGCTTCAAAATTTGTTTCTTGTGATGGGTCACTGAAACCCCTTTTGGCACGTTTAGCCCAAAGTACAGGCAGATCGAACACTTGCTCCGTGATGGGGTGTAACTCAAGGAGCCTGATGGCTTGTGGGGCTTTTGTCCCCAAGTCTCTTTCTGGAAGATGAGCTTTTCCTATGGGATTGGCAGTGAGTGAGTGGGGCACCCTGGGGTGCTGACTGGCAGCCCTGGCCTTGCTCCTTGATTATGCTTACTGCTGCTCCCTGGTCTTCTCTGGTGGGGCTCAGAGAAGGTTTGAGGAGTCTCAGCCCTGCAAAGAGGCTGAAATGTCTCTGGTTATAACAATGACATCCCTGGGGGCACCTTTCTGAGCCACATTTTTGGGCAGATGACACTGCACTGATCCATGCAAGCTTAGCCTCAGCCAGGTCACGTATTGTCCATGACTCCACATCCCACCGCATGCCACCAGAACCCAGCAGCGGGGAAGGACCATGCTGCAGCTTCACGTTTCTGTTCTGTTTTTACAGGGACGGCAGGCTGATGGTGGGAGATGAACTCCTGATGATCAACGGGCAGTCGCTGGTGGGGCTCTCCCACCAGGATGCCGTGGCCCTCCTGCGCTCAGCCGCTGGGCTGGTGCAGCTGGTGGTCGCTAGCAAGGTACGGCCCTCTCTTTGGTGGTCTCCTGAATGTGTGCCCACAAGAGTTTGTGCAAGTGCTGTGTGGAAAGGGGCAGATACTTTTGATAGGGAGTCATTTGTGCAATTTGCTCCCCTAAATTTAATGCACAGCTGTTGGAAATAAATCAGTAGCTCCCACAAATCTGTGTCAGATCAGCAGGGTATAGACCAATTTAATGATTTGCTTGTATTGTCACTATCATTCAGTGTGCAAATGAGTCTGTATTTATTCATGCAGACATTACTGAAGTTTTGGCCAAAACCATTTTCTTAAAATATATTCTAAATAAAGCAGGCTGTTCTCAGCCTCTTCTGCTTCCTGCCTGCGTAGCCTCCATAGCTCTCATCTCTTGTCATATCTGTGTGCCTGAGGTCCCCTGATGATCATCTCTTGGCTTGAGTTCCTTATTTTGTTCTTGTTAACAGCTTGGAGTGGAGCTCTTGCGGATAAAGGAGCATGAAATTTCAGGGAAATGAGAGTGGGACTCATTTTTCAGTCAAGCTCTTCATTCTGCTTTCATCGCAGGAGAGATGGAGGGGTTATTACACAATATTTTTTTCTTTGTTTAAGAAAATCCACCCTTGTTTACTCTCCTTTTAGGACCACAACTGCTGCTCCTCTGCTTGGGTTGATGCAGGCATTTGGTGGGCGGCTAGCTGGCTCCCAAAAGAGCCCAGGGTCTCAAAGAAGGGCCTGCCTGCAGGTGGGGGCTGTCAGGGCCTTTGGTGTGGCAGCAGAAACATCTAGATTCAGAGGGACCACTCATAGACCTGCATTTCCAGGTTCTAGTGTTGCACAGAGAGCTGCATTTTTGAGTATAAAACAAAGAAGCTTGTATATGAGAATAATTGGTTCTTCAAAGCAGGAACCAGGTGTTGGGGATGTTTTCACGGAAAGCAACATCGCAAGATTAGGAGAACATAAATTTTGTCCAGCAGGACACTTGGTCCTGGGAACCATCAGGGAGGATTAACTGGAGGACACCTAAATCAATTTCTTTGCATTCTCTAATGACCATATCCTTGAGAAGAGGTTACAAGACTGATAAGAGGCCAATCATCTGGCCCAAAGAGGTGCCAGATCTTGCACTGTTGCCTAATGAGGATGAAGTCAGCACAAACTGTGAAAACAGGGGTAAAGGTAAATGCGGCGGGGGGCAGATTGTGACCACCGACTCCCAAACCACTGAGTCAAGAAACCCCCCAACCCAAAAGAAAGAGAATACTGCACATGTGGACTCATTGGCATGAAAAGCGTGAAATTAACAGACCAACAGAAATCAGATTAAGAAATTTTGTACCAATTAATGTAGTTTTAGGTGGAGTTTTGCTAATCATGTATTAGGATAAATACAGTGTAGTTTTTACAGGTGGTGTGCTTGGTTTGTGGAAATCCGTCAAGCACCCAGCCTTGAAATAAACATCATCTCCTCTCTAAACACACTTTGTGTGTTTCAGGATTTCTTTCAATTTCAGGTAACACCAGGGGAGTGTGCTGTATCAGCAGGCCACTGTATCAGTAGTTTTAAAAATTTCTTTAGTTTCATCTTCCGGTTTCCCCAGCCAAACTGATGCAGGTTTCTGTGCGTTTAATCTCTGAATGCTCTTAGGGCTTCCTGGGATATTTTAGGCTCATGTATTTTCAAGAGAGGCCTGTATCCCATCATATTCAAAGTGAAGAGGCCTATAGCTTCTCTAACATTTCAGTTAGACAGTGAAGTTCATTGAAAGCCTGAAGTAGGCACACAGCCTGGGATTAACCCCGGTGGTGTTTAATCTGGAAACAGCACCCTTTGACCTGAAGTAGGGTACACTTTGTATTTTGTTTAGACAGTTGGACTGTCTGCCAAAAAGGCAAGGCAGTAGCCTGCTTCAATGTCTCCTTAAAATTATTTGCCTGTTCATGTGATGACTGCATCAAAAGAATCATCACAGATAAGCTTACAGTATAGAACTTAATGTTCCCCATCAGGCTTTGGGCCTGTTCAGCCCATGCTCTGTGTGCTTAGACAGTTTTTGTGTCCCTGGGAGGAGGCCTTGGAAAGGCAGGTGGTGAGGAATGGGGCCTGCAGCCTGTTTCAGGCAGGCTCAGAAAGGGTGTAAGGTGAAGTGTTCCCCAGCAACTCCCTTGGGGCGTTATTTGTTGGTATGGGAAAGCAGCCTAATAATTCGGCCAGGTGAACACTCTGAACGCAGGATTTGTTCTGGAAGCAATAAAATGAGAGCCTGTCTGGCCGCTGCTGTAGATTGATGCACATGTTTGCCTCCTGGAAAATATGCCAAAGACTGGAAATGTGTCCTGAAGCATCAGAACTGAGCTGGTAGAGGATCACTGGGTCAGTTCTCACTTTGTTCTCCCAAGTAGGGTTGTCGGTATATTATTCTTATGCATGTAGGTTGATAAATGTGTGAAGGGAACATCCACAGGGAGCAGGAGCATAGTGTGATTTGGGATGCAATGGAATAAATAATGAGGTCTGCAAACTCTGAGTCTGCTCACAGTGACATTTAATAAACCCAAAGTGGGGAGGAGCAGGCTGCTGGGGAAGCGTTTATTTTAAATCCTCCTTTATGAAACCTAAATGTTTTAGACATGTATTGGCCTTTGTTTACTATTTATGTACTTTAAAACCAGGTCTGCTTTTTATAACCAGGCCGCTAAAGTTTGAGGACGTGGAAGTGTGTAAAGAGGGGAGGATTACCAGGGAGCTCTCACTGGGCGGGTGAAATGGGACAGTTTCACCATGACTTTGGTGGTTTTCTGCATGCAGTGTAATGTATTTTGTTATCTTTTGGGTAGGAATCTGCTGAAGGAGATTTTTTGAAGTACCCATCTACCAGTTTGCCAGACCTGCTTAGCACTTGCTCAGTCCAAGACTCAGTCTCTTGCACTGACAACAAGGAAAACGAAGAGCCAGAAGAGGAAGATGTGAAGGGAGTGAATGTGTCTCCTGAAACACCGGTCGCTGTAAGTGTGGCTTTGGTGTGACGTTTTTACTCTCTCCCTTGACGTCCATGTGCGTCTGCCAAGTTCTCCTGCAGCCCGGCTTGGAGCAGGTCCTTGGGATGAGATGATCCCACTCAGCCGTGCTTTGCATGGGAGATGGGTGACAAGCTGAAATGGGGATGGCATCTACCACAGCATCTGCTCTCATGTCCTCCAAGCTTGTTGGCAATCACCGTTTTGTCTTTCCCTCTGCTGGTGGATTGTTTTCCACCTACTTCCACTGTTTTTGTTGGATCTGATGCGGAGTCTCTCACAGTGCTTATGCACTAACACTCTCTTCTTTCCCCTCCATTTGTAACTAAACTTCTTTAACAGTTTATGATCCAAGTCTTCAAGTTTTTATTTGCTCTGTTGAAGCCAACAGACACTTTTGTGGGGAGGGATACGAATTTCTGGCTGTGAACAGTAACTGAAGTTCTGCTGAATAAATGCTGCTGGTTGATAATCTCACTTGCATTCCCTTTAGGGCTGCATTAAGCAGAGATTAAGTGGATTATTGTTATTTATTTGTAATGTAGCAGCTCTCTGAAACTTCATTGGTGTCCTGGGCCTCTGTTGTATTGTGCAGACAAAGAATAAAATTATGTTTGCTACTAAAGAGCTTGCAGGCTGGTTTTCCGGCAAGAGAAAACAGGTGAATTAACTTGAAGCTTTTATCTTTCAATTTTCTCTTCTTGCCTTTTTTCTCCTTCTTTTCTGTGGCAATTATAATAAATCTCTTAAACCTTTGGATGGCTCAGATGTGGTACTGGTTTGATGATTTGTTTTGATTTTGTATTCTTACATTTTCCCTTTTCTGGGCAAAAGACTGCTCCCCGTGATGCGTCTTGCGCTGTAGTCTAGCCAGTGCTGGTGATCACTTCATACCTGCCTGTTATTTCCAAACTTTTTTGAGTTATAACAGTCTTCACTTTCACACGTCTCTTTATGGCGACAAGTTCTGTTATTTCTGTACTGTCTTCTCTTCTATGTGCCAGGGTGCCTTTCTTGGGGGGAGGAAGGGAAAAACAAATAACGCAGGGATGCTTAGCACACTGATGATGGTGTAGTGTTTGTGTGCTAACTTGAGTGGTCACCTAAGCATTCTTTTGGCTATCAAAATACTTTAAATTCTTCCATATATCATGTTTCAAATTCTGGTAATTTTTCATAAGGCTGTGGCTCAGCAACACTTAAACATAAAAATCAATTTTGTCAAAACTTAATTATGTGCAGCTCCCTGGCATTCCAGTGATTCTTTCGGCACATGCTGGGAGTTTTTTGTCACTGGTGTGCTCCTGACTTGCCAGCAAGGCTCTGCCTGGTTTTCAGCGATGGCTTATTTTATCGGATCCTTCCTTTCCAGACTAACACAATGCTAGGGAAAACTCAAGGTGACCGAGGTGTACACCACTGTGAAGTCCCAGCTGCACGAGCCTGCTCAGAGACCTTCAGCATGGACCTGAGTTTGGAGCCTTGAATGAAATCCTTCCTCTTCTAATGCATATAACAGGATTTCTTTGCATTCTCCATGTAATTTCCAACTCATCCTCAGAGGTGCAGTCAGGGCTCTCTGCAGCACGGGTGGGCACTTGTACAGGGTAGACACCTCAGCTCTACCCACTGCCTGATCCATCTTCATCAGATCAGGGCAGCCTGAGCTGAGCTGGGCTCTGCAAATGCCACCAGGCAGAACATAGGAAGGTAAATGTATGGAAAAGATAAACCTCACACGTGGCTTTTTTCCATCTGGCAAGGTGAGGAGGATTCTCATTGCAAAGCTAGAAGCTGATTTCAAGGTCAGTATGAACATGAAGCATCATATGTTTGTTGTTTTTTTTTTAATATATATCTATATATATAGGTATAGAGTTGTAGATTATTGCAAGATTGCTTTGGAAATTACTGTTCTTTTCTGCTCCTGGTCTCTTGATGATACTCGTGTGTCTTCCCTTTCTCATATATATTCCATTGTATTTCTAGTTTAGGTAACAGATGGCAATGTGACTGACAATTAAAGTGGCAACTAAGCTGGACCATTTTTAATCAGTGCAGATATAATTGTTTTGGACTTCCAGGGTGGGTAGTACTCAAGGTCTGGACCAGGTAACTGACAATGTGGTCTCAGTTTAAGTGTAAGACCTCTTAGATTTGAAACCAATTCTCAACACAGGTCTGTCTAGGAGTTGCCTTTCTCATGACCAGTTTCTCACCTCTGACCAAGAGGTTAATGAATTTTCTTGTTAACTGTACAGGGCTTTGTAGAGACTTAAAGGGATGCTGTCAGGCCATGGGTGGTTAGATAACAACAAGCAGTTCAGAGTGATTTGTCGTCAGCTGAGGCTTTACTGTCCTTCTTCTGATCAGCACAATGTATAGCTAATTCTTGAGCAAGTGTTGAAGGTACTTCAGAACTTGTAGGAGTTCATAGGGTAGTCTAAGGTCTTCTTTCATTAACTTCACTGTGAATATATTTCAGTTCCGGGTATTCAGGACCATTATTTATAGACCTGATGGACTTGCTCTTAATACCTTAGCACCTGACTGCTTAAAGGCTGAACCAGGCAGAAAAAATAATCACTTGGAAATAAGGTATATATTCAAATCTACATCCTTGAAGTTATTCAGAGCTCAGCTGGAACAGGCCCTGAGCAATCTCATCTAAGATGTGTCTGCTTTCAGATGGGGGCTGGACCAGGAACCCCCAAAAGTCCCTTCCAACCTGGATTTCTCTGCAATTCTGTGAAAAATTGTGAAAATAAAATAAAATAAATCTATTTTCTAGGGGCTGGATGTTAACATTTTTCCTGATGAGCAAGTTTTTTAAAACTGAAGTTCTTCTCCAGTGTTTCCAGCCAGGGAAATATAATCTGAGCTGATCAGCTTCCCCAGGACACAGGAGAAGAGTTTAGCGACACTTGAAAACTGTAATTTAAGAGAAATATCACTTGTAAGCCTTACTTGACAGTCCACTTGTGTTTTATTAATAAAAATTTCATAATACAATTTAAGTAGGGCTCTCTTTTTACACAGTTTCTTTATGTAAAACCCTGTTCAACATTAAACTTCCCTTAAAGTTCTAACTTTAATAAAACTTGTGCCACCAGGCAGAAAAAGGATTACATTAGTATACTTAAAGTGCATCTATTTTAGAGCTAGTTTGGCCAAAATGTTCCTTAACTTCAGATATGAAATACCAGACTAGAGAGTCATGTTGTGTTAAATTGTCCTGAGGCACTTCGGGATTTTAAACTCCCCCTCCCAAATCCTTACTTTGCCTTGTGCAGTTGACATTGCTATTTGAAAATGTCATGATTTATGTCCAAGTGAAATAGGATGATATGATAGTATTTGTCTTTGACGATTTATTTTTAATTCCAATTCGCTTTTCCTAGTATTTCTGTTGAAATTGAATCTGTCACTGTATTGCTGGCTGGTGGAGCAACCTGGGAAATGGACTCTAAAGAGAAAGCAGGTCTGCCAAGAATTGCAAAGTGTCTGATTAATTTGGGGTCCCCAGATAGAGGCAAGCATCATTCTTAGTTGCTTCAAAGGTTTTTGCCTTTGTTTCTGCTGTTGCTGTTTTGTTCAAAGTATGATGATCTGAGTACTTTATTTTTGAAGTGTTCAGCTTCAGTGGCCAGCTTCACATCGATGGGCTGAAATTCTGAAAAATTACTAAATTCAAGAAAAGGGTGTCAGCCTCAGCAGGCTTGTATCTGTAGTTGCTGGAGGCAGGGAGGAATGCCTGGGAACCATTCCGCTATACTTTGCTTAATGCTGTGCTCTCCCTTGGGTATCTGCTGCTCATGATGCTGGAGGCAGGACCCTCAGCCCAGTCTATTCCGTGCAGAACAGAATTACACAAAAGGGAAATTGCTTATTTGAGAAAGGAGGTCATTGCTATCCCTACCTGTTGTGATGGAGCTGGGAAGGGAGGCAATTTGCCTCCCGGTACCCAAGCTGACCATGAAGGCAAGCCCTGGGGACCCAACCTCTGCAGCATCCTCACCTGCATGACCCTCTCTGTGGTGACAGAACCCTTTTGCTCATGTTTAATTATTTTGTCTTGACCTGAAGTGCTTGATGTGTACCTTCATGTGAGCTGTGGGCACGTTGCATGCAGAGGCGGCCATGACCCGCCAAGGTCTCGATGCTCCTACAAGTCACAGAAACAAGATGCCTCCAGTTAAAAGGTTTCTTGCATTAACTGGGCTTCCTTATCCCTGCCAAAACCTCTGCTTGTGTTTTTTTTGTAAGGCATGCAGCTGCAAGTTGGATAAATTAAACCTGTTCTCTGAATATGCAGAAATGCATTTGTTTACCCCCTCCTCTTTCCTCATTTTTGTATTTTATCAGAGCTGTAGGACTGCTTAGTTATTTTCTGTCATGAGCCTTTCTGTCCTACTGGGGAATCCATATGTAATTACCTGTAGCCATGCAAGCATAATAAGGAAGAGGATAACAATGCCATAAGTTTAAAAACACTCTTGGGGTCAAAAGTTCTTCCTGAAATGCTGGGAGAGGATTTCAGAGAAAGCATTAGCATTGAGAAGAAGCAGGAAGCATAACTCAACAATTAAATGTGTGCAGAGCGCGAGGAGGGACCCTCATTACTTGGAGGACTCGAGCGTTCGTTCCCATTAGGGCACTGCAGTCTCGGAAAAGGTTGCTGAAACACGACTCGCTCCTCAAACGGCACTGCATGGCTGGAAAAGCAAGAAAGAGCTTTTGCTGTCAGAAATCTGCTTTGCTCTGAGGCGCTTTCCTTGGCAGGGGAAGAAGATGAAGAGCCTGGTGTGAGGCTGCACTGTGGCCAGCCCTGGTCCTGGAGAAAAGGTTTAATAATGGCTTTCCTCTTTGTGGTGAGGGCTGGCCGTGTTTGCCGGTCCTGCCTTGTGCCGCGTCGCCCTTGGAAGGGGCAGGCAAGGGCAGGGTCCAAACCTTGGCATGGCTTGGAGCTGCTGTTGGGCTGTAAATGCTGCATCTGTTGCAAG